GGGGACTAACTATGAGAAAATACGCAAGAGTTGTAAAAGTTCGAACCAAGAATGGACGTAAAGGCGTGTCAAAAGTCCTGGCCATGACGAGGCGAGCGCGGACTTGTCAGACGGATTTGAGCGGCGAAGTTCCGGCTGCCGCGGTGGATGCGGCCATGTCTGTCCCGTTCGATAACCTGCAGAAGCCCCAGCCGGCTGTCGCGCTGGCAGCCGCCTTGCAGGCAGTACCACAGACCGACACTCACGAGATGGAAGGCTCCAGGGACGATGCGTTTGTTGAGCAGAAGATGGTTTGTGAGGCGTTAACAGAAAGTGTCGATGAGCGTATAGCGGCTTTGACGCGGGTGTTGGAAGCATCCGACGATGATCCTGCTGAGATGGCGTCCGCGCGGGCGGCACTGGCGCGCTCTAAGACCTACCCGAAACTTGAGGAATGGAGGCCCTTTGAAGAGATAAGCCTCAGAGAAACGCACAGGGGCGTGCTGGGGAGAGGGGCGCTGCCAAATGAGGAGGCGTGCGTTCTGGCACTGTACCGGGACCTGCTGAACGGAGGTGAGCCGGGGGAGGCCGAGTGCAACACGTCCACTGGCGAGGACGCCGTGGACAAGGAAGACCTGAGATACGAGCTTGAGGTGCAAAAAATGCACAGACAGCGAATAAGTTATTCTGACATCGATTGGTTCCTAGATCTCTCACATCCGTCAAGACTTAAAGCTGACTTTTACACGTTTGCCGATGCAGCCAAAACTGTCCGAAGACTGGAGGTGGAAAGTGTTCGTATGAACCGGGTCGAAAGTTTAGCCAGACTGTCGGCTCAAACGGACGACCTAGATCAACTAGAGAACCAGCTGCCTGAAGGTACCAGCAGACGACTGCAAGTCCTTAAAGAAGGGATGACCCTCAGTCTGTATGTCTACACATCTCCGTTTGCCACCAAGACTGAGAAATTGATCAGCCTTCTAAAGGTTATTCGATACAGAATCGATGCGAACAATGCCATCAAGGCACACCCCGGTTGTGAGAGAGAAATAAGTCACCAGTTAAGACCAATCATGCAAGGAAACTCAAATATGAGAACACATTTTGTACAGCAGATGGTTACGATGTTCTCATCCGATAGCAACACGGAAGACACGCAACCCCAGGCCATCGGTGAGAGCCCCGGGGAGAGCTGCACCAGTGCCCCTAATATAGAAGGAATCCGGAGAGCTATACGTAATCCGGAAGGTCCTCCACTGTCACTGGCCGAGATGGTCTCAGCTGTAGGTAGAGTCCTACGATGGAGAGAGCAGCTCCTCTCAAAGTCACTCAGCAGACAAAGGGTGCATAATCACAAGCAGCGATTGAAAGGCATCTTGTATGGCTTAACATTCAACCCAAAAAGTGAGCTAGGACTGTCAACAAACGAACAAAATCAGTCAAACTACGGAAAGAAGCACGACGAGGTAAATGGAAGCAAACTCGTGATCCAGGACATGTTTGTTTCTGGAAGCGTGAGTGAAGGTACTGAGGTGTGTATTACCAAAAAGGATCCACATTCACCTTATGAAACAGTTCAAGCGTTCGAGTGGGTGAGTGAAGACGGCTTTGCTATGCCGCATTGGGTTCAGAAGAGACGTGAACGGACGGCGACAAGGGAACGAGAATCAAGCGACGACGAACCATCTGATCCGTTCAAACAAGCATCTGACATTGACTTCATGCTTCTAGCCGGACCGGTGAAATGGGTAAATGAACCGCTTTGGGACTCTGACAGCTCAAACGTTTCAGAGAATGCGTCACATTTCAGACTTCTCAGTGAGTCCTCCGATAGAGAGCAGATTGGCTCCGAAACAAAAAAGTACGGCTTAGACACTGAACAAAACAAATCGGATAGAACAGGCAGCTCAGGAACAGACAACATTCTCACCCTTCATGTAGAGGAGATCAAAGTTAGGCCGGGTTTTGTAAAGATCACTCATGCCGCCCTGCGGGAGGGTGACACCTTTGTCGGACGTGAGTTTTCATTTCGTTTTGTCCAATCTCATATAGCCGCAGCTATGGAAGAACATGTGGAATCCATCGAAAAACCATGGGAGGGAGCATGGGGGGCGAGCGTTGAAGTAGCCATCAATAATGAAAGCATTGATCTCGTCCCCTGTCTTGAGTACCCTGCGTGCAACATTGACGAGTTCGTGAACCGAGAGCGACCGTCGGGACAGCCGAGCAAGGACTTAGTGGAAAAGCTAAGAAAAATGCCGACGTATGTGGTCAACAAAGGTGGTGCTTTTCGTTTGTCATTTTCACGTCTCGAGTCGAAAGTGATTCGCTCTATGACCAAGCCCCAGCGGATCTGTCTGGTCCTGCTCAAACACTGCGCTGCAGTGACGGGAAGCAGGCTGTGCAGCTACGATCTGAAGACGGCGATGATGTGGGTCTGCGAGCGACGTGCGCCGGAACTCTGGACCTGGGACGGGATGCTGGAGTCGATGATGGCCGTCATTGAGTTCCTCCGAGAGCGTCGCGAGAAGGGTGATCTGCCGTGCTACTTTGCGCCTGAGATCCGCCTGCGGCCGAAGAACACACAGATGTCCGATGACTATGGGTGGGGCTCGGATATTGAAAGGTTGCGGGTGTTGTTGCCGCGTGCCATCCAGCTGCTGCTGGCTGGCCTGCTGAGCTCGAGCCAGGCGCCGCTGATGCGTCACCTTCTCAACCTGCCTCTGGACGCGCAGCAGATGCTCTGGTGCTGCTGGAAGCGCAGAGTCGACGACCCCTACCCGAGGAGACCGGATAAAGAAGGGAAGATTGACCCGGTCGACTTGTGCTGCGAGCTATACCCGGCAGCTGTAGAGGGTCGCCTTTGGTCGAAGCGGTTCCTCGACACCTTCCGCTGGGAGTCGCTGCCGGCGCGCTGCAGGCAGCCCGACTGGTTCGCCGAGCATGGCCGAGACACGGACAGCGAGGGAGAAGAGGAAAACAGTGGGGGAGATGAGGGAGACAAAGAGGAGACGGACAAAGTGGGAGAGGAAGAAAACAGAAAGGACACGAAGAATGAAGGAGAGGAGGAAGGCAGAGTGACCGGGAAGAAGATGGAGAGGATCCGGAATGCGCTGGGAAGGGTTATACGGTGTCTAGGAGAATGCGGTCAATGCACCAAAGGTCATGTCGTAGACTCCACTGGTCTGGTCGTCGGTTAGACTACCTCAGTCTCCAATCTGGACGGCCAGAGCCCAGACTAACCTGAACCTCATCAGTATGGATGGCCAGACTGCTTCTGACTTCAGCATCTGGTGTCTGACAAATAATTGACATTTTCGAGACCGGGTCAACTATACTCTCGACTTTACCCGGAGACAGTGTGTGCAAGTGTGCTAATGTTTGAAGGGAGGAGGAGACAATAGACTTCTTTCAGCACCTAGTCATTCGCTGCGATGGCAGGGAAAGCTTCTCTGATGGCCCCACGGCTATGTATTGTGTACTTTGGTAGTTGTGCATCTATCGCAATGTGTCGTGTTTGTATTGATGTGTGTTGTGCACATACAAATGTAGGCTGCATTTGTGCTTAAGTGTTTGTAACCGTGCAAGCTTCATGGGTGTGGATTTAAAAAAAGCTTTTGGGGTGCACAGGCATAGGTGTGCCTCTCACGGCCGCGTGTGCCTCTTCTGCCAAAGAGGGCCCCCATATTTCACATGTTACCAATAATATCGTACTATTTTAATGGTAGGTTATTCATAGGGGTTTGTATCATAAGTTTGCTAATTGCCTTTATTATAAAACGTAATTAAAGAAAGTTAATAAATCAGTAGCAATCCTGTAGAACTTGCTCCAAATCTTTTTATATGCACAATCGTGGTTGCGGAATATCGAAGCTCATCGCAGTCTAGAAATTTGATTTTTCTCACGTATCTGCTTAGTATTTATTATGCATTAATGCACAATTGGTCATAACTGTTGGGTAGTGTGTGCTGCCCTCTATACAGTAGTTATGTCACGTGTGCCTTTTGGCGCGCTATTCAGTCCTGGCTGTGCCGTCCTGCCGTTTGGTCGCCCAATACATCTCTACTCTGAAGGTCATCTCTAGCTGGACGGGCCGAGCTGAGAGACGACGCTACACTTGGCGACGAGTCTTCGGATCTGCGGGGAGCAGAGGGAGCCGTCATCAGCGACGACGGCTGCGGCACCGGCGGACGGAGCGACCTGGCGGCGAGCGACGGCTGCGTGACGGACCGGCCGGGGCGCCGGTGAACGGCTCCGCGGCGCTGTCAGCGACCGGCTGAGTGGCGGGCCGGCCGGGGCGCCAGTGAACGGCTCAGCAGTGCGGTCGGCGACCGGTGAACGACCAGCCGCGGGGCACAGGCGACCGGGCGGAGGGTCGCGCAGACCCGTCTGGCAGGTAGGGAGAGGTCGGCTGGTCAGAGTGGGTGGTTGTGCGGCCGGTGGTACCGCGCGTTCAATATGGCATTGCAGCTGCCTGCAGTGGAGCCGTACAGAACCGGTGAGGATTTTGAGAGATGGTCAAAGGGTGTAGAGCGGTACTTGGTTGCCTTGAATATCACAGAGAGTGAGAGGAAATGTGCCGTGTTACTGCACCTGTTGGGGCCCGATATCGCCGATGTTTATGACACCCTGCCTGACCCAGCTGTTGCCGTGCCCGATGCATTTGAATGTTGCAAAAGGAAGTTGGCAGCGTACTTGTCACCCAGTCGTAATGTGATCGCTGAGCGCATGACATTTCACAGCATGTGCATGCAGCCGGGGGAAGAATTTGACCAGTTTCTGGGCAGGCTGCGTGTTCAGGGACGCCGATGTGGTTTTTCCGTTGCAGAGCAGGAACGGGAGCTTCGTGACCGGTGCGTAGCTGGGAGCTTTGGCCAGCTACGGGAGAAGCTTCTGCTGAAGGCAGCGGAGAAGGGAGACGACCTGACTTTGATGGACATCAGGAGCGCAGCCAGGGTCTATCAGGACGTACGGCAGCTGGGGTCGCTGGTTCAGGGTGGAGCAGGAGCGACTCAGGTTCAAGCTATCCGCCAGGATGCAAGTAAGTCAGCTGACTGGAGACAGAGATCGGGTGATGATAGTCATACTGGAGGGCCCGTGAAGGAATTTCGTGGGAAATGTTTCAAATGTTGTCAGGTCGGTCACAGGAAGGCGTTGTGTCCGTCTGGTGCAAAAATGACATGTTTCCAGTGCGGAAAGCCGGGGCACCTGAAGCGCGACTGCCCTGGAAGGAAGCCGTCTGGAGGCGGAGGACGCGGTGGACACGGGGGTCAGGTGAGACAGGTTGCTGACCAGACCCAGTGTATGTTGTCTGTTGAGCCTGATGGCCTGTGGAACGTCCATATGGGAGGAGGGAGTATAGCTGGAGCCCCGACAGCTGAACTCCTCGTGAATGGCGCCAACATTGAGTTTGTTGTTGACACTGGTTCGCCTGTCACTATTGTCAGTGATCAGACTCTCGTCCCAGGGCTGAAGTTGAGACCGAGCCAGCTGGTGCTGACGTCGTTCACCGGCCAGCAGATCCCGTTGGCAGGAGAGGCTGAAGTGAGCGTGGAGCTGCGTGGACAGCAGAAGATGCTTCGGCTGGTCGTCAGCAGGCTGCCTCCTCACAAGCCTCTGATGGGGAGAGAATGGATCGGTCCACTTCAGATGGGCCTCACGTCACCTGCACAGGTAAAGACGATTGACCTGTCGCTAGACCAGGTGCTGCAGCGGCACGCTGATGTGTTCAAGGAGGAGTTGGGGAAGCTGTCCGTGAGAGCGCGTCTGCAGCTGAAACCTGGGGCCCAACCGGTCTATTACCCAGCCAGGTCAGTTCCCTTCGCTCTCAGGTCCGCTGTGGAGAGGGAGCTCAACCGCTGGATCTCAGAGGGGATTGCGGAGAGGGTTGACAGTAGTCATAACTCGGGATGGGGGACTCCGCTCGTCCCCATTCCGAAGGCAGATGGCGTACGTCTCTGTGCTGACTACAGGTTGACCGTCAACCCCCAGATCGTGCCGCAGAGACATCCCACTCCGACGCCGGAGGAGGTCTTCGCAGGTGTCCAGGGCAAGGTGTTCGCGAGGCTGGACCTGCGAGACGCCTACTTGCAGCAGGAGCTGGAAGCCGACTCCAAGGACATCACAACGGTGACCACTCACATCGGGAGGCTGCGCATGAACCGGCTGCCCTTCGGTATCAGTGAGTGTTGTGGGATTTTCCAGTCAGCTATTGATCAGATCTTGGAGGGCATTGATGGTTGTGTGGCGTATCTTGATGACCTGTTGGTGACGGGTGAGAACGAAGCAGACCTCCTGAGGCGCCTTGACAGGGTTCTGGGTAGGCTGAAGGAGCACGGGGCTAGACTCAAGAGGGAGAAGTGCGAGTTCAACATAAGAGAGGTCAAGTACTTGGGATGGATCATTTCTGCAGACGGGTTGAAGCCTGTTCCAGAGAAGGTGGCAGCAGTGGTCGGCATGCGCGAGCCGAGGAACGTCACCGAGCTGAGGGCGCTGCTGGGTTCAGTAAACTACTACCAGCGCCTGGTCCCCAGCTTGGCTTCGATGCTGGCGCCGCTCTACGCGCTGCTCAAGAAGGGGGCGGTATGGCGCTGGACGGCAGCGTGCCAGTCGTCTTTGGACCAGGTAAAGAGAGTGCTGACAAGTGGAAGTGTGCTGATGAGATTTGACCTGACCCTCCCTCTCAAGCTCGTCACTGATGCAAGCAGCGTTGGCGTTGGAGCAGCTCTCGTCCATGTGCTTCCAGACGGGACGGAGAGACCGGTGTGCTTCGCTTCGCGGACGCTGACAGCGACGGAGCAGAAGTACGCCATGGTAGAGAAGGAGGCGGTCGCAGTATCCTTCGGTGTCAGAAGATTCAGCCAGTACCTGTATGGTAAGCACTTCCACCTCGTGACCGACAACCGTGCTCTGTCTCACATCTTGAACCCACAGAGAGAGCTCCCGGCACTGTCAGCTGCGCGTATGCAGAGATACGCCCTTCAGCTCGCGGTGTTCTCGTACGAGGTCGAGCTGAGGAAGTCTGAGAACATGGGGCTGGCTGATGTTCTGTCGCGACTGCCGCAGGTTGGAGCCGACGGAGACTCTGTGGAAGAGGAAGAGGTGTACCTGGTACGGCACTGGGAGGAGGAAGGACCAGCTCTGTCGGCCCAGGAGGTGGAGACGCTCACCCGACGAGACTCCACTCTGGGGAGAGTTCTGACGTATGTTCGTTCGGGATGGCCCTCTGTAGTGGAGCCCGAGTTTAGAGCATTTAAACAGCGCTCTACCGAGCTCTCTACGGATGGGGACTGTTTACTATGGGGCGGAAGGGTGGTTGTGCCCACAAAAATGCGCAACAGAGTGTTGCAGGAGCTGCATGCTGGACATCTGGGATCCGGGAAGATGAAGCAGCTGGCCAGAAGGTATGTCTGGTGGCCCGGACTCGACACCGAGCTGGAGAGCCTCGCCAGAGTCTGCGGGTCCTGCGTTGAGAAACGCGCGGCGCCTCCAAAGGCAAGTTTGCACCCGTGGGAACCAACCCAGGGCCCGTGGGAACGGGTTCACATCGACTTTGCTGGGCCGTTTCAGGGCAGCATGTTTCTTGTGGCCCATGACAGCTACTCAAAGTGGTTGGAGGTCATCCCTATGAAAACTGTGTCCGCCGAGCGTACCATCGATGAACTGAGGTCTTTGTTCGCGCGGTTGGGTCTGCCAAAGCAAGTTGTGTCAGATAATGGACCACAGTTTACTTCTCGTGAGATGTCAGAGTTTATGATGATGAACGGTGTACGTCACATCAAAGTCGCTCCGTACCATCCGTCCAGTAACGGCGCAGCGGAAAGGGCAGTTCAAACTGTAAAGAACAGCCTGAAAGCGAGCATACAGGATGGTCAGAGTCTGGCAACGCGTCTGGCCAGATTTCTGATGTCTTACCGCAATGCTCCGCAGGTTTCCACGGGGAGGTCGCCGGCGGAGTTGCTGTACGGCCGGTCTCTGAGGACCCGGCTCGATCTTCTTCGCCCCGACCGTGCGCAGATGGCTGTCGACTGCCAGGCGCGGATGGCGGAGACAGCTGGCGGCGAGCTGCGCGGGTTCGGCATCGGCGAGGACGTCTGGGCTCGCAGCTTCTCTGGACCCAAGTGGCGGAGGGGCCGTATCGCTGCCAAGACGGGACCTGTCTCCTACGAGGTGGACGTCGGGGACACCTGCTGGAGCCGTCACGCCGATCAGCTGCTGCGTGCCGGGCAGTCTGGGCGCGGGGTGACACCGGAGGACATCGCCGGGCCTGACCGCGCGAGGACGCCGCTGGACGCCGCCATGGGCGGGACGCTGCCGGCGCCGGCCGCTGGGCCGTCAGTGAGCGGGTCGGCGGGGGCGACGGGTTCGGTGCCGGCGGCTGCGGTGGTGGCGCCGTCATCGGGGCCGGAGGAGGCTGGGCGGCCGCCGTCGCCCGAGGCTGAGCGGCCGCCGCCGCCCGAGGCTGAGCGGCCGCCGCCGCCCGACTCCCCTGGGCCGGCCGGGGTGCCTGCACGTGAGACTCCGACACGTGGCACGTGCGATGTGCGCGGCGCGGACAATGCGTCGCCGGCCGAGTGTTCGGATGCGGTGCCGGCCTTGCGGCGCTCCTCGCGGGTGCGACGTGAGCCCGACCGCTTGGTGGTGGGTTAGTGTTTTGATGGTCGAACATATGCACATCAGTGGCTACGTTTCTGTTTGTTTTGCTTGTGTTCGGTTGCTGGGCGCTTATTTAGCAGGGGGTGGTGTTGGGTAGTGTGTGCTGCCCTCTATACAGTAGTTATGTCACGTGTGCCTTTTGGCGCGCTATTCAGTCCTGGCTGTGCCGTCCTGCCGTTTGGTCGCCCAATACATCTCTACTCTGAAGGTCATCTCTAGCTGGACGGGCCGAGCTGAGAGACGACGCTACAATAACCAGTAACATGCATTTGTATAAAATTGTAAAAAAAAATGATTAGATAACACGCCCTAAGTTATCTTACATAGCTATCAGTGTGCATAATCCACATGTCAATGTTTGGGGGCTACTGCACGTGCGATCGTGCAAGGGTCGTTTCCAAATCTCGAGAACGGCGGGGCCGATTGCGTTCAAATTTGGTACACGGTTAGGGAACAGTGAGTAGGGTGCCGTGTGAAACTCAGTTTTGATCCAGTTTGCACGTGCGCCCGTGCAGGATGCCGCTCCCACATCTCAAGAACGGCTGGGCCGATTGCGCTCAAATTTGGCACACTGCGGGAGACCGGCAACGGGGGTGCCGTGCACAAGTCAATTGGAAGTACCCCCTCCCACTAGCGCACATGCAGAGCCACAATACTGCTATCGCTCGTTTATCACCCCAAAGAGCGTTTTACTCAAAGACGTATGATGACGCATTGACACATATGCCGACAAGGTTTCGCCTATCTTATCACCACCGTTCCTCTCAGTACACGTCCGCTAGTCAACCACTTGGCAACAGCCGCGCTCGGAAACAGAGCATACGAATGAGCCCACACGTGCCGCGCGGGCCAGTAGTCTCAGTAACCATCGCATTTCCCGCTCATCCTCCGCCTTATGACAGGTAACATCTCTGAACACCTGTTGCAAGCCGAGACCGTGCGCCCCACCGACACCGGTTGCTCGTGGCGGTCTCTTAAGAGACAGGGGGCCGCGGAGCGACCGCGCTGGCACCGCGCCAGCCGAGCCATCCAGCTGGTCTGTCAGCCTGGAGAGGCTGTAGCGCTTCCCCAGTGGACAAACAGACACACTGAGCGGGGCAGCCAACTGGGCCGCTGGCCGGACGCCACGGCTGCTGCCGGCCGTGTGGTGCAGCGCGAGGCTGATGAGGTGTGCTATACAGAGAGGCGTGGGGACAGCATGGGCGTGCGAGCGAAGAGCCGTGAATGGTGGTGTGGGGACGAGAGAACAAACTTCAAAGGCTTCGTGTATTTTGCTTCATGGTGACACAAAAATAATGACGTCAAAAGGCAAAGCATGGACCTACAGCTAAGCGATGTGATAAACACGCAGCGGAAATTAGCTTCCACGACGTTATACAAAGGCGGCCTTGTTCCAACGATGTAATTCACTCACCCATTTGATGATTTCCTTGGCGTCTGGCTCCAGGAACCGGGGATAGTAGGGCTCCTCAGTCCGAATCGCCCAGAACAGTTCATCTTCATCGAGACCGATAAACGGTGTCAGACCCACCAACCTGGAATGGTGGGGAACGGGTGAATAATTACTCCCGATCAAACTCTTCCAATAATAGCGAGTTTATTGAGTTAGTCTGCTTTGTGGATTGATTACGTTGGCGCATCTAGCCAGCCGGATGCGAAAACCCCGCCGGATTTCAAGGTAGGTGTTAGTTTGCAACTCTTCCACCTGTCGGCTGTTTAGCCATTGGCACCGGTTCAGCTTTGAAGTTCGCCAGTTCAAGGACATGAATCATTGTATAGGTAGTCAGTGGTCACCCAATAGTTGTCTTTGGTGCAGGTTTGTTCATGGTTGAAGTTAGAGTTAAGTCCGTTATCCCGCGAGTTGCTGGGGGGGGGAGGGCGTTAAACGCCCCCACTTTTTTCGCCGGGCCATAGCATAAAAACGGCGGCCAAATTTTCGGTACCTGTAGGGAATTGATTGAAGGTTATTGTGACAAAATTTCAAAAAAATCGGTCGAAAAATTTTTGAGATATCGAGGTTTTAGTGACGTCATGATTTCTGAGTTTTCGACCAAAAACGGCATATGTTCAAAAAATCATATAAAATCACAGAATAGACATACAGACATGCCGTAAACGCCATTAGACTGCCAATACCATGATCAATCAAATGACTATCTTCGATTATTGATTATCGTTCCGCATTTTCCATAATCTTGAACTGAATCTTGGCAATTTTTCGTGACTACTTCACGACCATGATACATGCATTTCTTAAATTGAACTTTTTGAGCCAAACACGTACACATATGATAAAATGAATGTCACCATCGTGTTCTACGCCCCAAATTACCTATCAGTAAAACGCCTTTTGGGCGAAGAACGAGCGAGCGAGATAGTGAGCCCTGCACGTGCGGAAGGGCGAGAGGGCTTGCGCAAAGCACCCTTCTAACTGGTCGCTAGCGGTGTGCCAAATTTGAACGCAATCGGCCCAGCCGTTCCTGAGATCTGGAAGCGGCATTCTGCACGTGCGCACGTGCAAACGGGGTCCAAAATGACTTTTGCACGGCACCCTACTAACTGGTCCCCAACCGTGTACCAAATTTGAGCGCAATCGGCCCAGCCGTTCTCGAGATCTGGAAACGCCCCCTGCACGTGCGCACGTGCAGTAGCACCCTAACCGCAACACATGGGAATGCATTGCCTGGTGGGTGCCTACCTGTATGCCAAGTTTCAGCGAAATCGCCCCAGTAATTACCGAGTTACTGAAATGGGAACAAATTTGGCACCTCTTATTGTTGTATTTTGCACGTGCACTGGGGATGACCCACATGCATCGAGAGTATCCTATTTTGGGTAGAAGGGATGCTGCTACCCTACAAAAATTACCGCAAGTCAATCGCCCAAGCGGCTGCTGAGATATGAGCCTCTCAAAATCACTACTTTTGCAAAACAGCTTGAACACCCTTGACTTTTCACGTGGCACGTGCCACGACGGTCACTGAGATGTATCAAAAGTAGTCAATTACGGGGTAGAAGGGATGGGGCTACCCAACAAAAAAGACCGCAGGCCAATCGGTCCAGCGGTTGCTGAGATATAAGCCTCTCAAAAGCGTTACAGGCCGGGCCGGGCCGGGCCGGGCCGGGCCGGGCCGGGCCGGGCCGGGCCGGGCCGGGCCGGGCCGGGCCGGGCCGCTCATACTGAGATTTTTCCGTTATATGGAAAAGACTCACTTCGCTCGCTGCGCTCGCTCGCTCGTAATAAAACATGTGTCACAGGCTGCGAATATCAGTTTTGATTTTCGGGGATATGTGCCTACCCGGTTGACCTGACCTTGACCCTGACCTATGCGTGACTGACCCCTACATGGAGCTGACACTCTCGTAGGCCTTATATGATGGATTGTGCACCGTTTGGACAGAGTTTATGACGAGAGGCGCCCATTGCGAAGTTCTGAAGTCCATGCTACTGAAAGCCCGATTTCAGGTGTTTGACCTGACCTTGACCCGACCTGTGACCTCAAAATTCAACTTTAAAGTACTCATCTGAAGCGTCTCGTCGCGCTCTTTCGTTTGCCGCTTCGTGCGTTTCGCTGCGGCTATTGGTTCTCGAGTTATCGGCTGGGGGCGTTTAACGCCCCCCCCCCCCCAGCAAACGGTGGGTGGCGAAATACCCCAGCAACTGCCGGGTTATGGGAGTGCCACTTCGTATGCCTATAACCAATCACTGTGAATCCAGGAATTGGGGACAATATTTGGCGGAGACCGTGAGACAGAAAGATGCAATGGCGATAAAAAATAGTTATTAGCGCTGAGTTAATTAGTTCCCTACTTACATTTCGTATAGCATAATGCCGAATGACCACCAGTCCACCGATTGGTTGTAGTTCTTGCCGGATACCACCTGAAAAAACATGGTGTCGGTCAAGAGGATGCATTTGATTACTGGCGAGCTTTTATATTATTTTCTGTGATCTATTAATTTTCATGTTGAATGCAACTCATCTCACACATATTAGTATTGCAAAGCAAAAACATCCCATCGTTCTACATCGTGCCTTCTTATTTATTGCTAATAGATTATCTCACTTCTGCGTTCCGTTTCCGTTCAGTGCTGTTGGGAAGTATGACGAGACGGCAAACCTCACCTCTGGCGCCATGTAGTCGACTGTTCCGCAGAAGGCGTCCGCCGTCCTATCCAGGAAGATCTGCATTTGGCACATGCCGAAGTCGGCAATACGGACGTGGCCCTCGTGGTCCAGCAGGACATTGTCCAGCTTGAGGTCTCTGGAGCGAGATCGGATGACATCACAATACTGAAGTCAAAAACGATGAATGATGACGGCCTTATTACGATTTCGCGCAATATCATACTTTAAAATGTGAGCCGGATTACAGTTCCGCATCTGTGCTCTGTTTGCGTACGGTAAATTGAATACACACAGCTATTTTCAAGTCTTCAAAGGTAATACGATTTCAAAAAAAATAATGATACAAGATTGCAAACCATTTTATTACTTGCACCGCCGTTTAGCTCCATATCCTCGTCTTCCTCAAGATCACAGGAATTCTGTTGAGTCCTCCCTCTAGCTACTTTTTTACCTGTAGATGATGCCGCGTTTGTGCAGGAAGCGCAGTCCGCAGACCAGCTCCGAGGCATAGAACCGCGCCAGCTCATTGCTAAACCGGCCCATCTGCCCCAGATGAAAACTCAGGTCTCCCCCGTTGAGAAACTCCAGTACGAAAAATAGATGAGACTGTGAAAGGAAAACATCAACAAAGTCACGCGAACGCCCTGGAATGCAGCAACGTCTTACAGAGGCACGTAATGCAGCTCAAAATGAATGAAAGGTTTACGTTAGCGCACAAACATTTCATTTCCGACTTACCGGCGATTGGAAGGTGCAGAAAAGGTGACAGAGATATGGATGGTTGGTGCCGAGGGTCAAGATCTTCCTCTCTATCAAGGTATCTTCGACGTCTTCATCGTTCACGATTTTGTCCTTGCGAAGACATTTGATAGCGAAGTAGTTTCGAGTGTCCTTCATTCTCGCCAACATAACCTATCGGAAGAGAGACGAGTAGCACGTGCATGTAGACACCAGTTATTGTTTGTGTTCTTCGATGTCACACAATTCAATGGAAATGTGATTGGTGAGTACAATACGACATAAGAAGTGAGTACAGTAAGTGTAAACTTATGTCAACAGAACAGCGTACTTCTATGGCTAAATTC